TTATAACTAAAATTTCAATCTAGACAAAAATTTCATCACAGCTTGAAAGAGCATCACAAAATTAGTAATATTCCAAAGTTTTGTTGCAAAATCTTGTCAAATGCGGATAATATAGCCTTGTGAAGTTTGCCGTTTTTCAGTCATTTTGTATTACCAATGGGAAATTGACATCCGATTCGGGTGTTGGGGCTGCAATTTCCCGTTTGTAATGCAAAATGACTGAAAATTGCAAACTTTGCAAGGCTCTATTTTCCTCATTTTACAACATTTTGCAACGAAACTTTGGAATATTACTAATTTTGTGATGCTCTTTCAAGCTGTGATGAAATATTTGTCTAGACTTGCCTAGATCGAAATTTTGGTTATAAGGGGAAGAAAGGTCTATTGTGGCACAATTGGTCAATCACTAAACCAGGCTGCCATCTATTCAGGTCAGGTCAGCCATGTGTCTGCCACTATTGTATGTTTTTGTGATGACTGTAAGATTAAAGTTTGTTTGAATTTAGCACTGTGATTATGCAAATCTCAGCTACGCTGGAATCTGTACTTGCTGGAATATTTACCCTTCTTGTCACTGAGCCAAAAGGTAATATATCCTACTCATTTTACATATATGGGAAGTCGCTCTGAAAATAAGTGACCAGACACGGACACTTTCTGACACGAAAAGGGCAAATGTCTGAATAAATATCAAGATTTTTGTGGCATCCCACTCAAACCCCAACCCATCGCAGTGCCGCAGGTTCAATTGCATTTTTTGTTTCTGTTCCTGGTTAGTTCTAAAGCCTGGTTTCCATTAAATCGTAATCATCGCAATAGTCGCTGAACGCAGACATCGATATCGCAAAAATCGCAGTAAGTCTATCTTTGCGACATTGTCGTAAGAGTCTTAGTTATCGGCATGACTCAAGTTTCCAATAAATTGCAGTTTTTATTTAAAATTTCGCGTTTTTAAAATCGTTGCGATGCGGTTCTTGCGATAATTACGATTTAATGGAAACCAAGCTTAATGAATGTATATAAATTTCCACTTGACAATTTCCATCTACAATACCTATCAAATGTCTGAATGCATTTCTTGCCGGACTGTAATGTACAAGTGACAATTTTAAAATTACTACATGTGTCCAGCACTAAGGCCCAGTTTAGTTTAGATGGCAAACTTTTCATGCACCGAATCTAATGCGACGCTGGAGCGGCGTCTAAATCAATTAAGTTCGGCAGGTTTTGATTAAGTTCGACACGACTCGAAGATGCGACAAGACAAGTCGTACATGCGACACAGGTTCGACATTGATTTAGACGCCGTGCTTTTCATGCACCGAACCTAATACATAATTATTTTTTAACATAATATGATTATCATATATTATTAGCATTGTAAATATGTCCAATATAGTGTCCTCGCAATTTGGTACGGTACAATTAAGTTCGACGTCTAAATCAGTTTCTGATATTTTGTCGTATCTACGACAATTAGATTCGGTGCATGAAAAGTGCGCCATCTAAACCGGGCCTAAGTGAGATTTGTCAGGTACAGTACCACCCAATTGGTGTCTCACAAAGTGTCGGGCACCCATGAAAAAATTATTTTCAGATTGTGTTAATGGGTTATTAATGGCATAGATAACTGCCTGAAAATACAAGCAGAACATTTCGAGTTTGGGCCCTCTTCGTTGGGAGATTAGATGAAGGGTCTTCACTTGAAACGTTGAAGTTCTGCTAATATTTTTCATGTAGTTGTACTGTATCTCTCTCACTCTATCTGCTGCTATCTTGTCATTGTTACTGTCTTGTTACCTACACTGACACAGACTGTATTAATGGGACAGGGTGCAATCATTCAAGATTTCTAGTCGTACCTGACTGGTACGCCAATGGTTGTTGCCGCGTACTTGAGCTAGAACAAACTCAGTACTCAATGCTCAATGTGTACTTAGTCTTTAAAAATAAGGTTCATAAAGTACAGGTTTCTGAAAAGTATGTTCAGACTATGACATAGCAAACAGAGTTTTGGCTGTTTTGCTATTTGAAAAGGGAGTTTTGCTATTTGAAAAGGGTGTTTTGCTATTTGAAAAGGGTGTTTTGCTATTTGAAAAGGGTGTTTTGCTACTTGAAGAGGGTGTTTTGCTATTTGAAAAGGGTGTTTTGCTATTTGAAAAGGGTGTTTTGCTATTTGAAAAGGGTGTTTTGCTATTTGAAAAGGGTGTTTTGCTATTTGAAAAGGGAGTTTTGCTATTTGAAAAGGGAGTTTTGCTATTTGAAAAGGGTGTTTTGCTATTTGAAGAGGGTGTTTTGCTATTTGAAAAGGGTGTTTTGCTATTTGAAAAGGGTGTTTTGCTATTTGAAAAGGGAGTTTTGCTATTTGAAAAGGGTGTTTTGCTATTTGAAAAGGGTGTTTTGCTATTTGAAAAGGGTGTTTTGCTATTTGAAAAGGGTGTTTTGCTATTTGAAAAGGGTGTTTTGCTATTTGAAAAGGGTGTTTTGC